GGCGCGCGCAGGGGCGGGGATCTAAGGGGGAGGCTTCTCGGGTAGGGGGGGCAGCCTCTCGGAGGGCGCGGGCCCTGCATCTGCAGGCAAGGCCCGCGCCATCTAAGAAGCCGCCTCCTGCTACGAAGCCGTCCCCCCTCCCCCTCCCCCTAGGGCAGGTTCGTGCCGTGCCGACTTCGGCGCTGGTTCCTGACACCGCGGGGACCGTTCAGCCTTGAACGATCGGCCGTTTCCGACACGTCAGATCGTTCAACATCGATAGGCTCTGGGTTGCCAGCGACGTTCAACATTGAACGCCAGCGGCGGGGTCGCCGTCGGTTGACACAATGCGACCCTACCGTACCCCCCTCTGCGCGTGGCTGACCCCAGGCACCCCAGAGCTGCGGAAAAGCTTGGAAGGAGGAGGCTCGGCCACGGGGGCTCGGACGTCTCTTTCTTACCTCTTGTGGCCGTCCCGGGTGGCCCTCCTGGCCACGGCAGAATGCGCCTCGGAGGTTGATCAGGATGTGCCGCTCGGATCCAGGGGACGATTTCGTGGGGTGGGCAGCGGTAGGGGGGGCTGGCATTGGGGGGGGGGATGCATCGACCTGGAATCGGCGATGCACCGCCGATAGATCGGCGCTAGGCCGCCGATGGTGCATCCGCACCCTCCTGAGCGGGGTGGGGACATCAGGCCCCTCTCGGCGATCAGTGGGCGATTGGGGCTCGATGCGTCCCCCCTCGTTGCCTGTCTCTCCCCCCCCCCCCATTCGTTGCCCCCGACAGGAGGTGGCCTTCGGATCCAGGGAACGACCTCGACCGAAACTGCATCCCTCCCTCGTTGCCTGTCCCCCCCCCCCCCCTCGCTGCCCCCGACAGGAGGTGGCCTTCGGATCCCGGGGAACGACCTCGCCCGAAACTGCACGGGGCCGACCCGGACCTCAGGGCCCGTGTGGCACCCGCACGAGGCGCGCCGCCTCGCCGTCCCGGGGGCCTCCGCGGGGGCCGCTCTCTGTTTCTGAAGGGCCCCGGCGCAGCCCGCAGGGCGCCCCGAGGCTCCGAGGCGGCCGCGCGCACGGTGCAGACGGCGCTGGCGGCCCACTGTTTTCATTTTTCCTCGAGCAAGTGAAAGGCGATGTACAGGAGTGTCTGAGGCGGAGACTAGAGTAACAAGTACAAAAGGCAGCGGGATATCTACACCTGGGCTGTTTTTCCTCGAGCAAGTGAAAGGAAGTGTAAAGGATCGTGGTGTCTGAGGCGGAGGCTAGGAGTAACAGGTACAAGAGGCAGCGGGATATCTGCACCTGGGCTCTGGCGGCCCGCTCTGCCGAGCAGACCACGGCGTCGGAAGTCTGCATTCGCCACGTGCTCTGGAGATTCCAATGTTCTTTGAATTCTTTGTGTGCTTGCTCGCACCCGCGCAGCAACACCGTCTGGACCAGAAGCTACCCGCCACCGTGCCCCCTGGCACGCTGGGGCGTGTTCGAATGCCAAGCGCTGTCTGGTAGGGCGTATTTAATTCTAGGGACCCCCCCCTCTCTCGTCACGCTGGGTTGCGCGCACCAGCCCTCCTGAGGCCACAACCCCTCGCAAAACGCAGCAGATTCGCACCCCCGAAGCCATAGTTCGTTGTAACATACTACAAGTTCGCGCATCCGAGGCCACACCCCTTGCACACTGCTGCATATTCGCGTTCTCGAGGCGACAACGCACAAAACAGATGGAAGGATTCGCGCCCCCGAAGCCAAAATACCTCCAAGACGGCTCAGTCCGGCTCTACGACTGCCCCACTTGGCCTCAAGACTGCTCAAGGTGGCGCCAAGACTGCCTCACGACGGCCGCCGAGGGCCCCAAAACGGTCCAAGGGGTTCCCGAGGGACCCCCAAGACTGCCTCGCAGGAGGCCGTCACAGCAACACGACGGCCCAAATGAGTCCCATAAGGGCTCCTCAAATAAGGTACACGACTTGTGCCACATGTGACGGCCTTCCTCCTCCTCCTCCTCCTCCTCCTCCTCCTCCTCCTCCTCCTCCTCCTTATCACGGCTCTCCGAGGCCTGGAGACGCGAAGTGTCGCATGTGGCGGCCTCCCGCGCCCCACGTCGAACAATCGCCACCCAGAAGGCTGGGCTGGCACGGTGGCGGGATTTGCCGCAGGCAGCCGGTATTCGCTCACCCCCGGATATCCGTCGCTGTGCCCCAAGGCACGTTGAGGTGTGGTGGAGTGCCGAGTGCTGTCTGGTATGGTATGTGTACAGTTTCCGAGGGGCCCCACCCTGCCCTCGCACTCACGCGCATGCATCGCCCCCCCTCCTCCCGAGGCCCCTGGACGCCCCGACGCCCCTCTGGCGCTCCCACCAAGGCTTTCAAGATTCAAGAGATGCCCTCAAGATGGCCCAACATGGGGGCTCGAAGGCGGCCCCACGACACCTCAAGGAGACCCCGATACGGCCCAGGGTATCCTCAAGAGGACCATTGAAAGCCCCAAGAGAGGAGGAGGAGGAGGGAGGAGGAGGAGGAGAAGGAGGGAGGAGGAGGAGAGAAGGAGAGGAGGAGGAGGAGGAGGATGAGGAGGGAGGAAGGGGAGGAGGCTCCAAGACAGACCAGAGAGGCCCCCAGGACGGACACCGAAGGCGTCAGACTGCCCAGGAGGGCCCCAAGACGGCCCCCCCCCAGAGGAGCCCCCGAGGGGGCCCCGGAGGACGCACCGAGCGGCCTCCCAGAGGCCCCCACGCGGCCCGACGAGAGGAGGAGGGATAGAGGAGGAGCAGGAGGAGGAGGAGGAGGAGGAGGAGGAGGATGAGGAGGAAGAGGAGGAGGAGGGATGAAGAGAGAGGGAGGAAGACGACGACGAAGACGAGGAGAGATACCCCAACACGAAACGGAAGACCGCGCCACGTGTTGCAACTCCCCCAGCCGTCGGGACACGAACTAGGTGTGGCACGTGACGGCCTCTTGTGCGCTCCTCGAGCAATCGCCATCCTGGGTGCTGAGCTGGCACGCCTGCGGAACTTGCCGCAGACAGCCGGATTAACTAGCCCGAAGCCGCTCTGACGCCCCAGGAGATGCAGTGTCGCTTGCGAGCTCAAGCAAGGCTGATGGTATCTATGCCGTTCCCTCGACATGCAGACGCTGTCCCCGCACCCTGGCTCCTCCTCCTCCTCCTCCTCCTCCTCCTCCTCCTCCGCCTCCTCCTCCTTCTCCTACTGCCTTGCGACGGGGGCACTCGCACAGCATCTGAGGATGCACGAATCCCTGTCTTGCCGCAAGGTAGCAGCGGAATGAGGAAGGGGGACGAGGGGGGGATGAGGAGGGGAGCGAAAATGTGCGCAGGACTACCGGCCTTGCCGCCGGGTGCGTCCTTGAGGCAACTGCCTCGCGACGGGGGCCAGCGTGCAGTATCTGAGGAGGCACGTGACCTGGTCTTGCCGCCAGGGAGTGGCGGAAGATGGAAGGGGAGGGGGGGATGGGCGGAGACGAAAGAGTGCGCAGGACTACCGGCCTTGCCGCCGGGTGCGTCCTTGCTGCGACTGCCTCGCGACAATGGCGTGCGTCCGACCGCTGTTGAGACCGAGGTATCAGGGACCTCGTATGCTGGTGTCGCCCCAGCTACGTAGCCCCTGGGGCGATGGACAGGTGCTCGTCGGGCGTGCGCAATGTGGCGCACGCCCTTACCAGCGCCCCATTCGTCCTGACCAACATTCACCCCAGGGGCTGCGGCACCCTTCGGCATGGAGAGGAGGAGGAGGAGGAAGAGGAGGAGGAGGAGGAGGAGGAGGAGGGGCCAGAGGAGGAGGAGGAGGAGGAGGAGGAGGAGGAGGAGGAGGAGAAGGAAGAGGAGGAGGCGGAGGAGGAGGGGCGATGGATGAGGGAATGAGGGCGAGTAAAAGCGTGAAGAAGGAGGCACAGAGGAAGGCCCAACCATATGATGTACTGTTTCTTTGTCGGTACGGGCTCCCCGGAAATCCCGAATCTTTGGTCGGCTCTTCCTCTCGACTCGTTTTGTTGACGGTCCCACGGCCCGGCGAGGGCACCCAGAGGCCGAAAACAGCAACAACAGATCCGGTCTGACTTTCTGCACGACGCGATCATGCCTGGTGAGGGGCAACGATAAGGGGGGGGGACTGGCACGGGGGGGAAACCTCGACCTGGAATCGGAGTCGGCGATACATCGCCGCTAGATCGGCGACATGCTCCCGATATAGCACAACCGCACGCCCCTGGGCGGGCTGGGACTCTCAGAACCCCCTCGGCGATCCATGGGCGATTGGGGGCCGATCGATGCGTCCCCCTCCTCTCGCTGCCCCCCGACCCGGTAACGAAGCGCGGAGGCCACGCACGGGGGAAGAGGTGGCCCGCTGCCCACGCGCGGGCGCGCGCGCGCGCGGGCCAGCCCCGCTGTGGCCCGGGCGGAACTCGCCGCGCTCTACGCTCCTGTAGGGCACCAC